TCTTAAAAAAATCATCATGACATAGGAGCTTATCGATTAAATCAATTAGCCTCAATTTAGGCAAAGAAAACTAAAGAAAACTAAAGAAAACTGTTTATCGATAAAACGTACATTTAAGAGACTGTTTATTTGTAAATCCCTTATTATTCAAGCTTCATTGAAAAATTTCCATATTCATATTTAATTTAATTACCTAATTTAATAATAATTTAATAAATTTAATTATTAAAAACAAAAAACAAAAAAAATTTTTAAATACATCGCTATTCGTTTCTCGTTTACCTATTATATTGTGTTTAAGCGAATCTATTCTTTGCATATAAAAGACGCAACATGCTGACAATGAGCCAACATGTAAATTATCATATAGATAAAGCATAAGAAAATAAAATAAAACGACGAATTCGCGGTTATCAAATTTACATTCATAAAATATTTTATTGACTAGGTTGTACAGGCTGTACAGGCTGTACTCGATTGTACTTAATTGATTCAAATTATTAATTTATCTTATTTTCCACGTCCAATACAGCCTACAATGTCTATGCGTATATCTATAATATCGTTAATACATTATTAACTATTATTATCTATCGTATTCTCTAATGTATCGACACGTACATATAAAATAAGTGTGCGTTTGCTTGAAAAACGTAAGAATTTATTATTTAGAGAGAAATTAGCTTTCCCCTTTGAGTCTCGTGTCTACTTCCAGCCAACCTCGTTGGCTTCCTCGAATTTCATACTGGAATTGTCTTCACCTACCCCGCATTATGGCTGCCAAATAAAAAGAATCTGAAACGAGGGAAAAAGAAATTCGAAAAATACTGCTGCCGAAGAGAAGGCACGATAGAAAATACAAAAGTGATATCGATATACATATAGATGCGAAAGTCGCGAGAGCTGGAAAAGGGGGAAGAGAAGAAACGTGTACGTATGCAAGCACGAGCTTCTCCCCGAGTCTCCGACTGTCTCTCTCCTCTCATGCCCCTCGATCGACGACTTTGAGCCTTCCGAATGTGAGTGACCGAGTGAGTGAGTGGGAGAGAGAATCTCGATATGTATTGTGAGATAAAGCCGAGATAAAAGACTGAAGGCGTTAGCTTTGTGGAGTGGAGAGGTTACGGGTGAAAGAATGAGCCGAGGGCCGTTTCACACTTGGCAACGCGGCGTTGCTGGCGATTGTAATCGCTAATCGGAAGCGTTCGTTCGCGTCTTCGTTCGTTTCTTCGTTCGTTTCTTCGTTCGTTTCTTCGTTCGTTTCTTCGTCCCTTTCATCGTGCGTATGCTCGCTTTAAAATGATGTATTATGAGCCTCACGCGCCTTACGATTTGCACAAAGATTTCTCGAAGGTTTTTCGCGCATACAGCCAGGAGAGAATGAGATACTCTGACTCGTGCGAGCCACCTTATATCGGCTATCGGCCTCTCGCTCAAATGCATCGCCTTCTCTCCCTCGCGTGCACAAAAATCGGCAAGGGTGCTAATGGAATCATTAGCTTGCGAAATTATATTCCTTAAAAGAAGTTATTTCAGCCGAAGCGGCTCGTCACTATTATTCATCATGGCCAATCGGAAGTCGTTGATTTTTCATCGCTCGTTAGCCAATCGATTATCACGATTTATCGCGATGGCCGCAATCGTTGCCCAGCGGATGATAGTCAAATTATCAAATTTAATTTTCACTCCGCGATCAGGAGGCTATCGGATCTTTTAAACAATTCAACGTTATCAAAAGGGCTTGTTGCTTCTTAGCCATGGCACACGCAGATGATACGCTTCCATTGGGAAATACCAACTAAATAAAATATGTGCATTTGGTGTATTGAGATACTCGATGTGTCACTGTTAACGATGCGCGAACATCGCGATCGATTGTTCAAGCGGCGTTACACATTTCTTTAGATAAGACTACATTAACTGCATCCATAATAAGTAATTATTGCTATCGATTTAATCCACGTGGTTTTAATATTGCGTTGGCTTGGAATATTGGAAGGCGACATCAACGCCTCTCGTGACTCACGATCATTTCACTATTCTCTATCACATAATCACGCAATGCGGAAGACCTTCGATTTGCATAGGGTGTGGGCCAGAATGGGAAAATACATCCGTGTGTGTACGTTAAGGCGAATTTTTATCGTTGCGCATAGAACAGTGAGTCGTGATATTCTATCTTACTTATTTTGCTCGTATCGATCTTCGAGAACTACCCCCTACCTGACTATTCTCCTCTCCCGAGCTTCGACGAACATGTTCATTTACAATTACTCTCCATTGGAAGTTTCAGTTTCGCTTTATCGTAACGAATGCGACTCTGCAAGACCAAGTCGCTCTTCGCCATTATTCACTTTATATTATTCGTAAATTAATTTACTATCGGCCGTTGAACGTACGATAATAAAATTTTTACACTCCGGCGGTCGTATGAAAATGTTTGGGCTCTAAGTGCGCGGTAAGACAGGCTACTCGGGCGCAAATGAAATGAAATGTAAAATGAATTTGTTAGCGTTTAGTTGTGGAAAAAAGTTTCAGATAAATTTGCATACTTTTTCAACGGCGTCCTCGTAACCTCTAGTGCATTTGCATTAAAATCCGAGAATTTCCATATTCCACACGTGACGTGTTAAAAGATTGAAATTTCGTGTTCCTTTTATTTCTCGTTTAATTTGCTCGGGCGCTCACGTGGCCGCAGTAGTCGTGGCTTGCAAAAACCGCGACGCCGAGTATCTCGAGCCTGAATTTTCGCTACCTTCCCCTCATCGCCCCTCCTCCCGCCTGACAAGCGAAAAATGAGGTTGCAAAAAAAAACGAAGACGAAACTCGGGAGTAACAGAGTGCGTGTTTGTATTTCTGCGTGTGTGTCTGTGTGTGTCTGTGTCTGTGTCTGTGCCTGTGTGTGCGTGCGTGTGTGTGTGTCTCTCTCTCTCTCTCTCTCTCTCTCTCTCTCTCTCTCTGTGTGCGTGCGTGCGTGCGTGCGTGTGTGTGTGTGTGTGTGAGAGAGAGAGAGAGAGGGAGATGGCAAGGAAGTACGGTTTCCTTTGTATTTTTATAGGCAGAGTGCACGGATATTCCAAGACCCGGGATTGAAGATATACTGAAGGATCAGGACACTCGATCGGCCCGATCTGACCAACTATTCCTACCGGCTTACAAATTCTCAGTCAAACGTATCTTTTATCCGAGCATTTATCAACGATACGACGATATCACGCGCCTGGCCCCTGCGTCCATCCTTGCGACAAATCGCTCCCGCCTGTTGCACCGCAACACCCATTCCCCTTTATCCCTCCCCTCGCAATCCCCAAACCCTCATCCCTTTCCATATTGTCTTCTCCTATGATGTCAGTCACACAAGGATTATCGTACCATAATGACGTGGGCTTACGAGGGCGGAAAATCGTCCCGACCAGTAGATCGCATCGCTTATCCCGTATCCGTCTCCTCTTTGCCCTTTAATCGATCCCATGATCGCGTGCCTGGGGATTCGAGGTCGCGGTAATTCCGTGACAATCGAGTGCAATTCAACGCAATCCAATGCATCGCCCCCGAACGACGAGTTTTGTTTATCCACCGTCTTGGCATATCAATAGGCCGAGGCGCGACTCGTACGCCCGGCACGTCCGTGTGATTAAACCTGCCGCACTTTGGTAGCGACGCGCGTGCCTGATCTTCTCTTAGGCTCGACTCTGCCCACTGGAAAGGGAAGCCCCGTATAGAGGATCGAGGCGACGTTCGCACGTCAGGGCCGACGCGCTAGGTTGCGTCACGACACTGATTTTCTCCAAGGAACGAATCAATAGCGAGACGCGCGCATCGCTTAGCTTTGTCCACGACGATTCGTCTTCTCCTTTCTTCGCCTTCTAAGGATATTGATTATGACAGGAGTCACGGGCGATGCCATCCTACTATCGGTTCACGATTATTAGGTTGCGCTATTGGCCGGCGATTATTCGACGCAGCGACAGATTGGCGCGCCGCGTCGATAATCGAGCTTCGGGAGGTCGACCGGAGTCGAAATATCTCACCACTCCCTGGTGATAATTCCGGAGCGCTTCCTTATTGTTTGTTGGCCATTGGGAAAGTAATTGGGAATGAAGGTGATGGGGGAGGGCGGTGGCGCTCGTTATGTTCGATCGCTATCGGCGTTGTACAATGAATTTCATGGGACAGTCCCTGCCTGATGAACACGAGGCTCGTCAAGTAAACGACCGATGGGGTAACGCGAAGGCGAGAATGAAGTCGAGAAGGCAGACTGGCGACCGCGGGTGATACCTCGTTCGCTTGGCCTCGAGAACTTTGATTAAGCGTCGCGGGGGAGGGTGAGCCGCGCGCGCCGACTCGAGCCGACGAAATTCCTCGGAGGCGCGGCGTTTACGGGGGAGAGTCGAGGGGCGATGTTGCGCGGATTGGTGAAGTGACGGTCGGGGTAAGCGACGTGATTTGAAATTTTCGCGGAGGCAATAATACTGATTTGTAAGGTGGCTCAGCCGTTCCCCGCCCGCTCGTCACGATACGCATTGCTTTTGAGAATATTGATATTGGCGAGGTCGGACCGATAAATATGTGCATTATCGAATTGGCTCGACAATGACGACGACGATCCTGTTTCTCGTTTCATTTTATTTATTTATTTAATTTTCTTTCTTCTTTTCTTATATCTATGTATTGATAGAGTCTGTAATAATATTGTTACGCGATGGCAAAAGAATTTATAATAATATTAACAAATGATAGCGTCGGCTGAGTGAGAAAAGCCTTAGGAACGGGGCAAAAGTTTCGTTGAAATAAAACCATTATTTATTGCACTTTTGTGGGCATAATATTATCTCGGTAATCTTTTATTGACGTAGTAAAGTTCCGAGCGAGCCGATGATTTCGAATTAAGATACACTAATCCGCAATTAATACATAAATTCGTATCCAAATAAGTCAATGCGACTAGTGCACGCGTGTGCGAAATATACGTCCGAGAAAATCCGCCGCCAAGTGGCAAAATGTTTTACGATAATCCGATTCTTATCATTTTACGATGCAGTCTTATTGAGAGTGAGTTATTATCACATTGAAAAATGAGATATTTTAGAGATACATTTTCAGTTTACTCAGCAGCTACATTTTATTGCAATGGGGATGCTTTTTATCGGATAGTTCGCGTTATTTATTATACGACAACGACGACAGTGACAACAGCAACAGCGGTTGCAGTAACAACGTCGACGACGACTGTAATGACAGCTACAGCAACGACGACAATAATAATGATGATGATGATGATTATGAGAATAATGATGATGGTTATAATTTTTAGTCTATTTATGTTTATTGAAATTAGGAGGAAAAACATTTTTAGATTAAAATCACCTATTCTCGAGTCCGTGAGATACATTAGAGTTCAACGTTTTGCTCTTCTGCTCTCCTCTTTTCCATTCTTATTTATGCTTTTTCTTCTTCTTCTTCTTCTTGTTCTTCTTCTTCTTCTTATTCTTATTATTATTATTATTATTATTATCGTTATTGTTATTATTGTATATTTTAATGAATAATTAATTAAAAATATTAATAGACGTAAGGCATAGTCCTGCTTGCAAGTAGAGTGAATATATCAAAAATAAAAAAAATAATAAAAACACGAGGATCGTTCAATGTAATAAAATCGATCTCGACCTTGTTATTTCCGTTCAGCTGCTCGAGGAAAAATCGTGTTCTATCAATAAGGATGTATACAAATTTTAAGACAAAGCATCGGGGACGAGGTGGAGCGAGTCCGGTAGAGGAGGCGATGAACAGGTGGCGGGGATAAAGAGAAAACCCATAGGTGTCCTTTTGAAATTCGAGGCATGCGCGCATCGCGACTATTACGTGTCGCGCGCGCGCAACGAGGCAAAGAGAAGATAATGTCGAATCACGGGCGCGTGACAATGTCTCAAGGTGCCCGCGTAACTTAAAGAAGAAAGAGCAGAATCGAGCGACTGGTAGAGTGCAGAATTAAGAAGGGAGGCAATGTTAATGGAGCCACTGTGGCGCTCCGACTGAACATTTGGAACTGCTCTACACCAAGTGTGGCCAAGGACGTCTCTCCGCTCCAGATGTCCCCGTTGGCTCGGGGAAGCGCGGGTAATCTGGCCGCAGCGCGGGCGAAAGCCTCTTTGTTCGGGGCGGGCGGTGCGCTCTTAATATTCGGCAACTTACGACGCGAGGCGAGTGGCGGACTTTTCCTTTCAAGAGCCTCGGAGCCGCCGTCCTTAGGTATTGGCCTTGTCGCCCGAATAAAAATACCCTCTGAGCGAGCCGCGCGTTCGACTCTAATCCTGGCCCCGTGGACACAAAGGCCACAAAGGCCCTTGGTAGTGCAAGATCCTCGGCGCGAGGCCCTTTATTCGAGATGGATACGGTGCCAGAGCAATTATTCGGCTACGCCTCGAAAATCCCCGGAATGAGATGGTAAGGAGCATCGGCGACGACGAGGACGACGAGTTTAAGTCGAGCGATCACCGAATAACCGTTGACGCTCGAGGGCGAATTTATCGGGAGCCGACGCACGATCCCGATGAATTATCGATTTTCCGTGGCTTTTCTTAGCGCCCGGACGACTTTATCGCTATTTATCGCTACGGTCGGGCCGTCGTGGGCTCCGCCTCCGGGGCCTTCATTATGCGATTCTCAATGCGATTGTCTTGGCCCGAGTGCATCGGCAATTGTTCCGAAATCGGGCGCTAAGCTTCCGCTCGCTTTCTCGCCTATGCAGAGGATTGAGAGAATCAATTAGCTTTGTCGGAGGATCGGGTGTTTGCCTTTTTCTCCTTATCCCCCATTCTTATCGCATTCCCCTTCCCAATACCCAATACCCAATACCCATTCCCATTCCCATTCTGTTTCCCATTCCAATTCTGTTTCTCATTCCCATTCTGATTCTCATTCGCAAGTCTTATTCGCAAGTCTCATTCTCATTCTCATTCTCATTCTCATTCTCATTCTCATTCGCATTCTCATTCTCATTCTCATTCTCATTCTCATTCTCATTCTCATTCGCATTCTCATTCTCATTCTCATTCTCATTCGCATTCTTATTGGCATTAAAACTCGCAGTTCCGTCTCGCGCTCCGCTGGCAATTGGAATGATTCTGAAATCGATATAGAGAGTTTCTTGTAAGGCATCCGCCGATTCTTACATTAATACAACGCTCATTGTAGTTGGGATTTTTCGTATATTGTGAGGGATTTTTCCAGTTAGAGGCTCGCCGATACAGGCGCACGGGGGCATTTATTATTTATCGTTTAGCCAATGGAATTGAGCTCAGCTTAAATCACAGTCGCTAAATTAAATGCCAAGATAATGATTGGTCGCCGCGTAGGTGTTTCGCAATTGCGAAAGAAAAATCCAATAATCGTGAGCTATTGTGCCCCGAGTAACGAACTTGAAAGACTAAATTTATACGTAAAGAAGACACTACTGTTCGCAGATAAAGAGGTTCAAGAAAAAGGTTTCTATTGATGCTTATAAGCCATTCATGTCCTATTTAGAGACTTTTATGTCGGCATTTCGGCCATGGAAGATATATCCTTTATTCCGAGCCAAAGGAATTATATTAAAAATAATTGTATAAAATTAAAAATAATTGCCCGCGCGCTCGCCTCTCCGATGATGCTCTTTTTCCAACTGCAAAACTATCTTCCACGCAGTTTTGCCCGACTATCCGTCGATAGTCGCGATCCCTTATATCCGTGCTGACTTTTTAATTTAAAGCGAGCGACGGTCGCGCGGTGACGTAGAAACTTTCTTCTCCTCTCGAGATGCGCCGTCCTACTTCTTAATCATACCGCGTGCATTTTAAGCGCTGACGAATGCACTCGAGTGGCGTGCACACTCGGCCCTTAAGTACCATCGGGGCCCGTAATGGCATTATCGTAAGCTCGGCTCGGTGTCGAGACTCGGTGAACGAGCGACGAATGTCGCGTCCCGAGACCAATTGCAGAAAAAAAAATTGACGATAAGTACCGATAGGGAATGTTGGGAGAGAGTGATTGGATCGTGGGCCGCATGTGGTTGTTGCGTCAAGAAATCAGCGCCGCGTGAAAGCGATGGATTAATTAATACGTCGTCGGCTACGTATAGCCGTACATCGACGCTCCTTACTTTCTGTTTCCTTATTTCGTTCGTATGCTGGTTCCCTGTTACATCTTATCGCCATCTTAGTTGGTCGTAGCCGGGATGTGCCAATCTTCACGAGCTCGTTCGAATTTATCGAACCAATGTTAATTCGAGATTCGAGAAAATCTAGATTGCTCGTTCATGGTCGACGGTGGCGCATGCATTTCTTACATATTAATGAGAAAGTTTCGATTTATCCACGGAGATTATTATAATCCCATCGATGTATTTCCTTAAACTACTAGAAAGCCTCTAATGTAGTTGACGGGAGTGAAGGAGGGAATAGCGATTAGAAGACAAAAAACAAAAAGATAATAAAGTTGTTCGTGGGCGGGGGTGGGGATGGGAGAGGTTGTAGCGGAAGAATTATTTAAACTACGTGAATTATCGATTGGAAAATCATCGATAGATTATTATGTTGTTGAATAAATAGCCTCGGTACTTGCATTTGCAAGTTTCTTGGTAAATGGATAATTTTTTATTTTCTTCTTGCCCGTTGCGAGTGTAAAATCAAATTCACACTCGCAAATTTGTTCGATACTCGCTAGTTTAGCTTTCGAATAATGCAACGGCAAAGAAATTCAATAACACGATGTCCGAGTGTGTATGCGCAACAAAAATTCCACTCCATTTGTACAAAATTCTCAAAATTATAATATTATAGAGGCAAAATATTTTTATTAATAAACTAGATTATCGCGGACCGTTTGCTGGCTAAAATCGATCGATCAAGCAGCCAAAGAAGTTAAATTTCAGGCTCTCGCATGCATAAGCATTTTTGGGGAAAACAAGGCTTTTCGGTAGCGGTGTTCTATAAAGGGCTGATGGAGCAAATTTGTCCCATCTGTTTATCAACATACGAGTTAACACGTTTTGTTTCTCATCTCGTATAAACATTTTCACTTTACTTTCGTTCAGGATTTTTCATTATATAAGTATGGTGATTCCAAGAATAATATTTCACATAAAACGTGTGACATGATTTTTCAAGATTTTAAATTTTACATCATATTTCACATCGCATTATATTTACTATTCCCAGCGGGCCTAACAAAACATTCTCTCGTCAGCAATACGACAACAACGGCAAATTAACAATTTTACGTCAGGATTGAAAATATCCTTGGGCGCAATGGAGTTTGAGCAGCTACTTTGAAGTGTAGATATAAATATATCATAGATGATACATACATTTTGGACGCAGACATAACCAACGAGGATGCTTAAAGAGATGAAAAAAAGGAGGCAAAAAAAAAAAAAAAAAAAAAAAAAAAAATTGTTCCCTTTTTTAATGGTTCAGTAGAGATATGCATAATTCACCGAAACTTATGAATTTATATCTCAACTTATCCTATTATGCGCAGGAACATTTTACCGTGAAATATGTAAAATTAAAATGCTCGCTCACTATTTTTATTCGGTTATCAATGACGTCGTCCCTATGGCATTGCAAATAACGCCCTTCGCTTTTTTCATTATTTCGCTCACGAATACCAATTCCAATTGAATAATAATATTAAATTCCTCGCGATTTACTCGGCAATTTCAAATGCAAAATTCATCCAGCGCTGAACTTTCAAAAATTTAACCTCGAATTCCACTCGAATTTCAATTGTCATTCAAGGGAACTAGCCAAGGTAATTGGATTAATAGAGTAACAATTTCAAGAAACAGTCGAGCTTGCTACTTTATACGAAGAGACATGGAAAGCGTAGGGACGACGATGTCGAGCTAGCGAAGCAGGTTAAGAGGGTCCTTGAAAGCTATAACTACAGATTTCGAATAAAAGTTTTGCTCGCGCGACTTTTCACTATAAAAATAGACTGCAACTCTTAAATAGCTGACCCAATTCGCGTGGCTCGCGCACGCGACGCGATCTCTCCAAGTATCCGCCAAGGTTCTCGCTCACCCACCAAGCGCACCCTTATGAAACAATTCGTCCCGAGTGCCGGGGCTCCAAACGGGCAATAACCACCCTGGGTGCATGCGAGCATACAATGGCCACCCCCGCACAATCGACAGCTCCTTCGTTCGGTGCCTTGGAGTATTTGGAGCGGACCATGGAGTACGGGTCAACTCTTATCCCGTGCTTTCGCGAAATGTCGTTTCGCTGGCTCGTTATTAGCGAGTCCGCGACTTTATCGTCCACCCGCCCTCGTTTCCTCCGACTTTTGACTTTGGCGCGGGCAAGGAGGACAAGAACGCTGGCATTAATCGAGCATCTGCAATGGCGAAGGAGAGCATGAAGTGACAGCCCCCGAGGTTATTCGCTCCTCTCCCCCCCCTCCCCTCCCCCTCCCCTCCCCCTCCCCCACTCACGCCACGCCAATTGCATTCGCTATCGCCGAATGTCCTCGTTCCTCGACAAACGCACGCCAGGGTAGCGATGCTAGATATGGACCGTGGGAGCGTGCGGGGATGAGGTCCAGACCAAGGACGAGACAAGCGTACGCTCTCGTCTCCATGCCCACCACCAATCCCTCTCCTCACCTCCCGCCGTCCCACCCTAAGCACACACTCGCGGCGCGTGTAAAATGTATTTGTCTCCACTAGGTTTGGCCGCGACTTTGTCGTTCGAGAGCGACGGCTATTTATACGAACGAACGCAGAGGAAAAACGTCTTGGAAAATGCTCTTCGCATTGAGCGCACCGTCGCGTTTCGCCACGGATTCTTACAACAACATATGGCCTCAGCGATCTTACGCCTAATATTTGTTTGCGTGGATTTCGAGCGGGGGAAGCGGCGATTACGTGTCACGAGGATGTAGCGGCCGTGGCAGTTATAAAACTTAATAACCAGTGCTTTCATTGCTTGAAAATGCCAGCTCAAAATTTCAGATCCCTTGAGAATTTGAAGGTTATATTGTTCTAACTATGAGTGCTCGTCTTCGTCGGCAATTCGTTGGCAATACGCGCCAAAGTCTATTGGGGCAATCAAAGCGGACGTCCGTACACGCGGACTAACGAGCTGAAAGTTGCAAATTGCCGACTCTCCGCGTAGTCCTGCGTAGCCGCATAAGCCGTATAACCTAGTCTAATCCAATAAAATCTTACTCGTGCAATCCACTTGTACCTACGGCTTTGTATTATCGGTTTGTTCTATTATCCGCAGCCGATCGAACTTATCTTTTTTTTTCCTCTTCAATTTTCCCGATTACGCCCACTCACCGCCCACACGACTCTTCCTGCGGCTATTGCCGCCGCTGTTGTGGTAGTTACTGTTATGCTAGCCGTTGTTGCCGTTAGATATTCGTTAACTCGCGGGGCTAATCGTAGTATAAAGATTTCCGACAGGCGGAAGTTCCATGAAGGGAGCGAATTGCAATTGAAAGCAATGCATTGGGCTCGGCGTAAGGGGACTCAATGATTATGACGGGGGGCGGGGGACGAACGACGACGACGAGGCGATGGAATGTGTAATGCCGCCGCGGGCACATAGGGGCTCCTTCCCTTCGTTTTTTCGCCGTGCTCTCCCCAACCTTGAGGATCCTCATCCCTTGGTAGTAGTCGGCCGGATTCTCGCGTCACCGTCACCTCACCTCGCTTGTTCGCTTCCGCCCAATAGATCTTTTTTGTTCTTTTTTTTTTTTTGCTTTTCTGTCTCGATCTCTCCCTCTCTCGTTCATCGTTCATTCGAATAATCTCTGCAGTTTGCGCTGCGCAGGGGCCGAGGAAACAAAGAGGGACGGGCGGCTCAAACGAACGAGGCAGCACTGTAGAGGACAGGCAAAAGATTAAGGAATGCAAAGCCGATTCGTGCCAAATGGCACAGAGAGCTTGCAAAGTGTCTAGCTCGAGCTTTTTACTCGCGATGTTAATTCTAGAAGGAGGGGGTGAATAAGATAGTGGGGAGAGGGGGGGGGCGGCATTAAATTGACGTACTCGAGAAGCTGGAGACTGTATTGGAGTCCTTATAGTCCGTTGTACGAGAATCAGATTGCTTTTCAATTTTCCTTGCTCTTTTAATTTTTTTTCTGCCTTCTTGCGCAGGCATCCTCCATCCATTTTGCTTTTCATTTCATCTTCGCCCTTTTGCCCCATTGCAGAGCTCGCTTTCCATTCTTCTTTGTTCAGCTTGATTTGTGCACTTTCTATCTTATTTTGACCCAGATAGTTAGAACACACACACACACACACACGCACACACACACACACACACACACACACACACACAAAGCGCACGCAAACGCATTTGATATTGTCTCCTACGTCGGCTCTGATGCGAATCAAGCGTGTTTTTAACATTCCGTATTTTGTAGAGGATTGAATATCGACAAATGGAAAATAATCGTACTGTTCATTTGTAAGAGAATATTCGTGTGCGTGCAGGATCGGCTATTTATTTGTAATGTATCACTGGCACTTGAAAAGAAATCGATGGCTTATTTAATTAAAAAGTCATCGAGACGACGGAGAAGTAATCGTCCTTAAAATGCCATTAATTATTACCAGTCCCATAATATTAGCATTTAATTTTACGTTATTTGTATTAGGGCATAAAGTTTATATAAGGGCTTTGATTTAAAGTTACCATTTAATTAAGAAGTTAATTGAAAATGAAGGATACATTAAAAGATAGATAATAATTCGAAAACTGCAATTTTGCAAGGGAACTTTTAGTTTAATAGTTTTATAAAAGAATTAATTATACACGGGGGAAAATAATGTTTGATAACTGCTCATGATGTAAGGAAGAATTTTCGGAATTTTTACAACGAGTAACGAACGATGCATCTAACTTGAAAATTAACAATCCATTATAATTAATTGTTCGTTGGAGTCTGCAATGTATTGCATAGACTTTTACAATTTAAATAATGTACGATTACCTACCACCTAGATAACTGAGTCAACGTCCTCTCTCTCCCCCTCCCCCCGCCCTAACCGCCCCCAATCGGCCCCAATCGCCCCCAACCGGCCCCAACCGCCACCACCACCCATCAACCCAATTCGATCATCGAATAACAGGGACACGCCCTCCTTTCGTTCATCCACGACTCCGATAATAAGAAACATCTTCCCCTGAACTTGAAGTTTCCCCTTAAATTCACCCATCATCGCTCATCACCCTTGTAACGCCAATTTTATTTGCCATTTGCAGCGATATGCGCCGGCCGCTGCTGCGACCAGAATATGGAAGAACATTTGCGCCAGCAGGCCAAGGAGGACTTTCACAACCAGATCCATCATCATAGCCGAAGTCTCCTCGGTCTCCTGGCAACTACCGCGGATGCTCTCAGGGGTAAGTACTCCTCGCTTTCGTCGTCACGCCCGTCTACGTCACGAGTAACGATAAGCCGTGAGGTCACGCCGCACGGACCCGAGATGAATCTACATCTCCCACCCGCTCAAAATTCTTTTGCAATATCCTTATTACGAGATTGGCCGCCAAGGGATTTATTCACGAGGAAGGTTCAATCACGATGTAGAATTGTTTTCCGACGACTCGTTTCTCACGTCTGTCGTCGGCCATCGACTACACCCCTCAAGAAATATCACTACGTTTGCGTCGAAGAGCCTCGGTCGACTGTGCCCGATGCGCGATAAATGCTTTCACGAATACTTTTCCTTCGCTATCATTTGCCAATATCACAGAACCGCGAGCCACACACTTGCACACGCGAACATGCCAACAGCCCGACCACATGTCTATCACACACACACACACACACACACACACACACGCGCGCGCGCATTTTACATGTAAACGGAATTGTCACGCTACTCTATCGCCGCTATTAAACAATCGTTCGCTACTTTTTTAATTGCAATTATTTTTCACATTGATCCGACAATGAATAAAACGCAAGCGATGTTATGGGACGCGAGCATTTTTGTCGTCGGTCTAAGCTCTTTTTTGTTTACCATAAAGAATAATGTGCGCGAACGGTAAATCTGTGTTTACCGCATGACATAAGAATAGTTTTCAAGCTTGACAAATTAAATCGCAGCTATTAATTGTAATGTTTACGATGAGAATTTATTCGTATTTATAGCTCATTAATTGTGAATAAATAATTTATTATAGCTTATAATTATGCGTATTTTTTGTCAGGCGTAGATCATATTGTTCATACGACCATTTGGAAATTTTCAAATTAAATTAAATTATTAATTTCGTTCGGTAATCTTAGACGTGAAAAAAAAAATCGTAAAACAGTATTTTATTATACTGGCAGCACTTTTATTGGATACGCAATTCTCTTTAGGCATTATTATTGGAATAGCTGAATCATTATTACGATATTACTTATCCATTGTACGAATAACTATAATCGAAACGGTAAAAATGATTATTTACGTCATTCGTTCGGCTTAAAAGTTCCACTGCAGATAACAATTTCTGATACTCATAAATCAAATAATATAAACGGCTTATGTAAATATACAGATTTTCGAAAATTCAAATTAAGTAAATTCAAGCGAAACGAGTATAGCTAAAGACACATTGGATTACGTAAATAGTTTAATTTTTTTTTTTTTTACCGTTTACACGTTATAAAATCATTTCATTCATATTTCGATCGTACTATCTACAACGTAAAAGCAACGGCAAATTTATTACTTTTATTCACTATTAATAATGAAATATAGCATTACACTTATAAAATGCTTACTTTGTTGAAAATATTCCCACTTTAGTACTATTTTTTTTTTTTTTTTTTTTTTTTTTTTTTTTTTTATAAAGAACGAGATCAATGTTTTTATAACGTTTTCTATTAAATATGATTATTCAATTAATTTTATTTCTTGCGTAGTTTATGCTTTTCTAACTAAGCCTATGCATTGTGCAGACATGCTTACAATTTCTTACACCTTGGCTTCTACTTTTTCTATTACTTACTCATTACTTTATGGATAAAATGATATCTTAATAAATTTTCACCTCATAATATATTATCTTGCAATGAATTTTATGACAAATTTAATGTAATAAATTTGTGCAACCGTTATAGCAATCCTAGCAATATACGGCTCTTATCATTGCCGCCGAAGGATTTATTTCACGTGACTATTGTATTACCATAGTATTTTGTTTAATGTACCGAGCATTTTCATTTTTATCGTTTTTTAAATTAATCGAGTAATATTTTACATAATTGTGTGGGAACACAAGGGGATGTAATTTATATTTAGTGTCTTCAATAACGTCGTACAATTGTTCAAGGGAATATAACGGTAATGTAATGTGTAAGAGTAAATCCTAATGTAAATTGAAGTATTAAAAATCATTGCGTATACTCTGGGATTTATAATTTTAATAAAATCATACAAAACTGGTATTAAATATTTATATAATGAGCAAATTGATTTACAATATTAATGTCTAATTTTTCTATAACTCCATAATAATTTAAATTATTAATAAATTTATTTTCACGCTAATCATTTAATCATATTATTTATGGTATTATATACAAATTGTAAGAAGTACAAATTATATTACCATCTAATTGCATAAATATTGCATTAGATGCAAATCTCAAGAATAAGAATTTGAAAATTAATTTAAACTCTAATTAGCTTTGGAATGAATGAAGTGAAATTGGTTCGTTTTACCTAACTAACTAAAATTATCTGTTTCATAAAGTAAGGCCTTATGATTTCAAGGATAAAAACTTTAAAATATAAAATAAATATCAACCATGGTATAATAATAATAATAATAATAATAATAATAATAATAATAATAATGAGCAAATATTCATATTAGTATTTGAAACACTGTTGAAGTAAGTATTGCTGTAAGTACAATAGCCTTTATCGTCCTGTAGATTATTGGAAAATTTTTAATACAACGTTCGTTGAGCCAAAAGAGGCTTTCGCTTGGTTATTTAACTGTGACGTGTGAAGAGCTCGTAGGATATATTCAATGAGCTTTAATAAGAAAAGTACATTATCCCGCTAATTTGTCCCGACAAGCGAACACAATTAGTCAATGCGTTCGAAAGCTCCGAAGCAAGAATCGGAAAAGCTCCGAGCAATCGATAAAATTTTCACGTGCCAACGGAATCGAGAGTATCTCCACTCCTCTCTCTCTCTCTCTCTCTCTCTCTCTCTCTCTCTCCCCGCCCCCTCCGTCTCTCTCCCTCCCATCCCTTTCTTCGTACATATTATCATCCTTATTTTCTTCTCTTTTGCCCTCCGGTATTTCACCCTTGTACGCTACTTTTTGTTATCCATCCGTCCGTACGTTTTCCTTAGGTCGGCGGCTGCGGAAGCAAAGTCTCAACGCTTAGACCTCCGAGGAAATACAATACATACTGGCGTGAGATTAAATTGTCCTCGCGCGCAACGAGATAAATAAAGCGAGCGCGCGCCTTAAGGTGCGAGAGCATTTTCTAACTTTTCTTTCTCTTCCTCCTCTCCTTCTCCTTCTTCGTCTTCTTTTTTTTTTCCTCCTTATACTTTCCTTCCCCTGTGGCTGGACGCTAAGATGGCTACGCATAAGATGAATTTTATGAAAGAGAAAATATCGGGTTTAAGCCTCTACCCGCCACTCGCTCTACCCACCCTCTTTCGCCCTCAAGTCTCATCATCCCTTTTATTTTGCATTCGTGTTATTTCATCGAGGTGCGCTTAGAGGTTAATTATTGGCGCATTATAACCATGGATAAGGAAGCTCTGAATAAGTTAAATGAGTCGAATGGTGATAGTATTGAATAATATATGCTAATGTACGACAGCTAAATTGCCCTTCCTTTAACTAACATGGGATATTCGTGCGCAGCGTTCGTATAGGCAACTTAAAGCGTAAAAAATCTTAAATCAAATGTAAATTGGAAAAACTCCAAGCCCAGTTATGATACTTGAAGCTTCGGTCGAACAATAATGAAGGCAATTTATTAATTAAATAAGATTAAAATGATCGAGCCGAGTAAAATAAGAGATTCGATACTTAGACGACAGCATTGCTAATAATTCAATTAAATCGACTATCAATGGTTAACAAAATATTTGCCCAAACCAAAGACATTTCTCACTCGAATGCAAGGAAAAAAATACTTCAATCCCCCTGCCATTTGCATTTCAATTTGGCGTGATATTTACGCGAAACAAGCGACTGTAAAACGAAGCGTATGTAAGCGTAAAGTGGGTGGACCTGTGCTTCACTAAGCTTATCACAATCCAAGCTTTTCCCAAACAGCGTACCTCCCATTAAGTAAGAATAATCGGCTATCGGAGTAAGCCACCCATCAATATTTTATCGTCGGTAATCCCAGGGAGGGACGGCAGGAAGCCCATGACAACGACGATGACGACGACGACGACGACGACTCGACTCACGCACCGATGAGAACAGGCGCAACGACACATGTTTACTCCAAGTATTCTCGCCCTCGGATTCTTCCTCCCTCCCTCTCTCCCTCTTCCTCTCTCTCTCTCTCTCTCTCTCTCTCTCTCTCTCTCTCTCTTAATCTCAATCTCTCTATCTCACTCGTTATATCGAGTGCTACCGAGGCGACGAGAGATTCTCGTGTATTGTAAGCGCGTACGCGCACATCCATATACATGGGAGAATCTCGCCTTGTAGGGCGACTGGACCCCGCGTAACCAGCTGACATCTAGTCCCGAAGAAGGCGATCTTCCGTATTTTTTTACCATTCCCCCTCGTCACCCTCCGGTAACTCTCACCTCGACTCGTGTTATGCTTTTTTTGTTCGGTTTTCCCGATTGCTGTTTGCCGCCTTTTTGCCCGTTTCTATTTTTATGGCCTCTTTCACGGCTTTCCCCCATTTTTTCACACGCGGATTTCAGTTTCTACCTTTCGCGACGATTGGCTCAGTGCCATGGTGATTGCGGCTGAACGATACAACGTATTTCTTTCATATTTTTCTCCTTCTTCATTTTTTTTTTTTTTTCTTGCCTCCTTAATACGAACATTGTAAGTAATGATTTTCCTCTATTGAACTAAAAATTTCGAAAAATTTCATCGTCGTTTCGTTAGGCGGGTAATGCCAGAAGCGACGGGGTCTTGTTTTATTTTTTTTTTATTTATTTTTTTTATTTATTTATTATGTGAACATTTTTACGCGATTTAAAATACTTATGTATATGAAGGCGGGCTGTTATTTTTATGCGTATAGCTTGCGAGAACTTGTATGAAAATTATTCTAAACTTTTGAAAGACGAAAAAAGCAGGCTTTTCAATCCATCTCGATACTACACTTTACTCTGTACTCAAAGCTGCTTAAATATATGATATAATATACGATAAATATATAAATGGACGATAAAAAG